CGTCCGTTGGGACGGCCGAACAAAACACTGCATGCTAGAATTCAAGTCTTAACTAATTATTATTCGAACGGTCGTGTCAGTTGATTGTCGTTCAGCAGTCGCAGAGTTCGGACAAAAAAACAGTACGTTTAGTGGCTGTGTTTTCGTTTTCGAATTTTGTAACAGTCGTAGAGTTTATCGTCGAAGCACAGGCACCACGAAACCATTTCAAATTTACAATCGATGCGGCCATTTTTTGGTAAAAAAAAAGCCGAAATTAAGGTTTTGTATTGCTCAAGGGAGCCGGTGGAAGAAATAGTTCAATAAAATTAATGCGCAACAGGCATTGTGCTAACTCCACACATTAGCGCTTAGGATCCAATATTAAAATAAACCTAAAATGTATTAAGAAGAATACTTATTCGACAGATCGGTAAGCTATAACCTATAAGGTGGAACTTTGAAAATGGGGCAAATATTCTTCGTAGGAAACTAATCGCATAACAAACAAAAGAAAACAAATAAAAAACGAAAAACAAGAAGCAAAATACAAAACAAAACAAGGAAAACAATAAATTAATTCCAAAAAGAGCTGTTTACATTCGAATACAGTTGAATAAACGTTCACCTAAGTTGGTTTTGGACGCTATTTTACTTCAAAGAATATTAGTGTTAGAGCAATTTGTTTCTTCTTCTAAACTTGCTCCCAAGGTGTTATCGGCTGATAAGTTAAACAGTCAATGGATAGGTTGTGTCTTTGTTCAATTCTACATTCAGCTCCCGTGAAAAACTTCAGTGGTTCCAGCTACATTTTCTATAGGAGCAATGGTAACTGGTACAATTGGAAAAAAAGCAGAACAATATGTGAACGGTCTGGATATAACCTTGTTTCTATTGAGAGTCGTGAGGAATGGAACTTCCTGAATCACACCATCCAAAAAGAGAATACCATTGAATACTTCATAGGCTTGTGGAAAGATCCATCAACTGGAGTGTGGAGATGGTTAAGTGATAACAGCACAGTCGATGCGTCCAATAAAGGAGATTGGCCCTGGGCAAAAGGACAACCTAACGACGGAAATGGTGAACTTAGCTGCGCGGAAATGTACAGAGATTATCTTGATAACTTTGGGCGCTATAATGATGTCAGCTGTACTTCACGCTTATCCCAAGCAGGATTCATATGTGAATTTAAAGGTGGAGGAGGTAATAGACTCTTAATTCACATTACA